ATGAGTTACAAGGTAACAGCGGCAGCAGCTGAACAGAGCAAAAAGGGTTAAAAAGGCTTAAAAAAACTAAAACATTACAGTATACTGTATACAGTATGTACAATGAAAAGGGTTAAGAACACTTTATATACAGTATATAATGTATTCAGTGTATATATATAACCAGCTTATAGTACCTCCTGATAGTCCAGCATATCTGATAATACGGTACCACCTAGGTCCCATAGGTTCCGGAATATTGGAAGTCTACTGTAGTAGGAATTAAAGCCCTACCTCGTGCATTTCACATCATACAACCTCCTTGCCCAGCAAAGCTCAAACAAGTTTGGTCTTTGACTTCCAACTGGCTTTAAAGTATTTTGCAGTGAGACCCTTCAGTGTGGGGCTATGAAAGTGTAGCTTTTCCCTTGAATCAACAAAGAAAATTGCTCTGATTTTCATCACTCCCAACTTTCCCCTTCTTTGACCTTTCCCCTTTCGAGGGCTGTTGGCATTGTTCAGTCTGACCGATAAATCAGACCAGGCACTGTTTGTGCAGCAAGAGATCTCCTCCCCACACCCCGCAAACTCTCATTCTGTGCCACACTCTTCTCCCAAGCTTCAGCAGGTCGAGTAAAAAAACGATTAAAGGTCTAGAAAAGAGGACCTGTGAGGGAAGATTGAAAAAATTGGGCTTGTTTAGTCTGGAAAAGCGAAGACTGAGAGGGGACAGGATAGAAGCTTTCAAGTTCCAAATAGGGTGTTACAAGGAGGAGAGGAAAAATTGTTCTCCTTGGCCTCTGATGATAGGACCAGGCACAATGGGCTTAAATTGCAGCAAGGGAGGTTTAAGTTGCACATTAGGAAAAACTTCCCAGCTTTCAGGGTGGTTGAGTCCAGGGGCAAATTGCCTAGGAAGGAATCTCCATCACTGGAGATCGTGAAGAGCAGGTTGGACAGACACCTGTCAGGGATGGTCTAGACGGTGCTGGGTCCTGCCGTGAGGGACTGGACTTGATGACCTCTTGCAGGGGCGTTGACAGCCTTTATGGGCCCCTGGGCAAGATGGGGGAGGTGGCTCCATATTCCAGGAAGGGGCGGGATCTTGGGCAGAAGGGGCGTGGCTTTGGGCAGCCAGCCCTCCACACTGCTCAGAATGCAATGCACTCCCCCGCAGCTTTCAGAGCCGTGACACTCCGGGGCTCCGGCCACCACTACTGCTGCAGGTTGCCCCCCGTGGCCCCCGCCCACCACTACTGCTGCAGTAGCAGCCCTGGACCCTTTCGAATCACCAGGCCCCTGGGGCAACTGCTTCCTTTGCCCCCCGCTGTCGGCAGGCCTGCCTCTCCAGGCTCCTTCCAGGCCTGGGATAGTCAGGCGTCTCCAAGCTGCATTGACGCACTTGCCACTTGGAATGGGCGTCTCTTTGCGGTAGGGGGTTGAGCGCTGACACTGGCAGAAAGAAGGGGAGCTGCCCTGGAACAAAGCAGCAGTAAGTGCGTCTGCCTAACGTCAAGTGATTAGAGAACTGAGCCGTGGAGCCCAGATCTCCGAATGATCCGAAGCGGGACGTCTATAGAGTTGACTTGGCTTATGCAGGTGTAGAGGCAAATGATTTCATAAGGAGTCCCATTGTATGATCACTCCAGTATGTTTTTTTAATGCTATTGGAAATTTGGAATAGGATGGAGTCCGTGAAATTTAGCCAGATAAGGGGGGCTTTGAATGCACCCTCCTTGCCAGAGCATGTGGGAAGGTCAGGACTTCAACAGGGTTCAAAACAGAGCTAGATAGATCCATGGACAGGGCCGGACTGAGGCACAGGCGAGCCGGGCAGCTGCCCAGGGCGCCAACTGATGGGGGGCGCCTGATGGCAGCTGCCAGGGGCGTGCGGCGTCCCTTACAGCTGCCATCAGGCACTGCGTGCCCGGCTCCTGGAGCGCCAGCCCCATGGCACCAGCCAGCAGCACCCTTCCCCCACGGCTGCGGGGTTCTGCATGGCCCGGCGCGCACGCCAGCAGCATTGGCCAGGCCGGGCTGGGCAGCACATGTGCCGTGCGCCCAGGGGCGGTGTTGCGCGCCTGAGCCCAGGGCGCCAAAGGGGCTCAGGCCGGCCCTGTTCATGTAGGTTAGGCCCCTCAATGGCTATTAGCCAGGAGGGGTAGGAATGGTGTCTCTAGCCTCTGTTTGTCTGGAGATGGATGACCGGAGAGGGATCACGTGAGGATTCCCTGTTGTCCCCCCTTCCTCGGGGGCACCCGGTATTGGCCACTGTGGGCAGACAGGACCCTGGGCTAGAAGAACCTTTGGTCTGACCCAGTCTGGCCGTTCTTATGTTCTTATGTCCTAGGGCTGGGGGACGTCGCTGCTCGGATCCTACACGCTGCCAGAAGGGATGTGGGGTGTAGGTGGAGCCTGTAAGGCTAAGTCAGAAGTTAGCAGCTTAGACAGACAGGGAAACAATGAAACTGTCGTCAGCCTGAAAGGCACCAGGCTCAGCACTACGTCTGCAGTGGAGAGACGCAGCCCTCTCGGGCAACGGGCCAGAGAGTTGTTACAAGGAAGTAGCACCGAGAGTGAGAACAAGCGACAGCATCAATGTGCCGCGGTGCTGGGCTTGTTCCTCCTTGACAAAGTGAAAGGATCCCCACGGCAGGGCAGCGCTGGGAGAAGCAGGCCCCATGGACGAATGGGGGAGTGCAACCAGCCGTCTGACACGGCTGCATCGAGGTCTGAAAGCTGATCGTCTGTGCCTCCGCGTGAGCATGCTGGCGGTGCGGCGCCGAGAGGAGGAGGAAAAGGTGGGATCATCCCACTTTGCACCCGCTAGATTCCAGGCTGCCCCAATGGCTGAAGCAGCCCTGGGTACGTTAGAGCAGCCTCCCAGCTGCTCTAGGAGACGGCAGGAAGCCCTTATCCAGTGCCACCGGCAGCACGCCCGCTGCGAAGTTCCCCCCCTTTTCTCTGCCCCTCGTGCTGCAAGAGTTCATGTCTGAAGAGCAGCCAGCAGCAAAGAAGGGAGCAAAATCACATTGTGCTCCTGGGGCTAGAAACATTTTTTTCCTGCGTCTGCAGCAGCGTTACCTTAGCCCTCTCCCTTTTGTGACAGGCGCCTTCTTCCAAGCTCATGGGTCTGGGCAGCATCCAGGCAGTGCCTTGAACTCTGGGCGCCGAAGTGCACTCCTGATGTGCAGCTCTCCCCGCCTTGCACCCCCTCGTCGGGATGTGGGACCCCGCCGTCCAGCTGCACCAAGCTTCCAGGTCAGCAGCAGAGCCCATCCCGGTCTCCCTCGTAGCTCAGGCATGTGCCCTGAGAGCCACAATCACACACGTGATTCCTCGCTGAGCTGGGAGAGACACAGAGCGACGGAAAACCAGACACCTCTGTGCCCCCTTGGTGCCTGTGCTGATCCATTCCCTGAGACCCTAGGCCAAGTCTGTGTGTGGGGCAGGTAGACCGCTCTCGCCCCTGCAGGCCTCCTGTGTCCTGGCAGTATGCAGCTGGGGAGAGGCTGGGCTTGCCCAGTGCGGACCCTGCCCTTAAATTACAGTTCAGGCTGGGCTGTCAGGCAACTCACTGGACAGCGTCAAAGCCCTAGTCCTGTGGCTAACGTCCCAGTGCTCAGGAGACAAACTAGGAGAACCTGGTTCCTTTAGCCTGCCCTCCTCCCCGCCCCACCTTTTAGCCAGCTCACTGTCCTCAGAGAAGAGAGCCGTTCCAAGGTGATGCCCTTGGATGTTTCTCTCAGGCCGTGTACACGTAGCCCCTAAGACGAGGGCGCAAGCTAACGGGAGAGTACGCCCTCCGAAGAGAGACAGCCCAGGGGGTTTACAAAATCGGACATACCGGACAAACGAATAGAGGCCCGAAAGCCAACTGGGAAGGCCTCTGAAAGGAGATCCAAGGAGGGGCAAACACCCGTGGTCATGTCCACGCGCTTCCTTCCTCCTGTGTAGCTACCACATGACCGTGCATCATCTGTCATAATATGCTACCTGGAGGGCCTAGCAGCCTCCAAGCATTGCAGAGATCTGGGGGAGCCTGTCAAACGTGGCTAGATTATAGACGTATTTAATCTGCAGAGGAGAAGGGTGAGGGGGGATTTGAGAGCAGCCTTCAACTTCCTGCAGGGAGGTTCCAAAGAGGCTGGAGAGAGGCTGGTCTCAGTGGTGGCAGACTGAGGAGCAATGGTCTCAAGTTGCAGTGGGGAGGTCTAGGTTGGAGATTAGGAAAAACGATTTCCCTAGACGGGTGGGGAAGCACTGGGACGGGTTCCCTAGGGAGGGGGTGGAATCTCCATCCCTGGAAGTTTTTAAGTCTCGGCTTGACAAAGCCCTGGCTGGGTTGATTGAGTTGGGACTGGTCCTGCTTTGGGACGGGGGCTGGACTTGATGACTCCTGAGGTCTCTTCCAGCTCTAGGATTCTATGGTCACATAACGCTGGACAGAGCCTGGATCCAGCCGGCCATCCTTGCTCAGCAGAGCAGCCATACATGAGTGTTTTACTCCATTTAACTGTGGCAGGACTTGAGCGTGTGGGGTTGGCGGGAGCTGATTTTTGCTGAATCAGTGCTGATTTTTGCGCCTTCGTGATATGGTCTTGGCCAGAACGTGATACGGTTCTGGATGCTCTAGGACTCCCTGCGCCTGATCCCCGAGTCTGTGGATCTGGGACAGGCTGGGGGGCCATGCATAGCACAGAATAGGCAGAGCAGTAACTTTTCCTCTTGGCCTGGATCCCTGGGACAGCACTGGGGTCCTCTGAGTTCCTGGCTGTCCCTTTGCCATGGCTGCTGTGGGGCTGTGAACCTGGAGGTGCCATTGCTGGAGGTGCAGGTCTCAGCGCAGCTCTGACAACGCCACTCGCTCCAGCTCATGCCCTGTTGACTCTGTGGGAAAGCACGGGATGCTCTCTCGAATGCACTTCTACCCGCAGACGTACAGCGGGTCCTGGCCATTCTTCAGCGTTCATTTGTGGCTGAACACTCAGATGTTCTCTCTGGCTTCTCACCTTTCCTAGGCGGAGACCCCAGATGCACAGACCCTGCAGAGAGTTACCGGGATCACTTTGAAACCATACAGCAAACATCTCGGAGGCTGGCTGACAAACTGAAGGTACCGTAGCTCCCTCCGCAAAGCAGAACGCGGATGCAGCGCTCTGTGTAAAGAGAGGTTGGGTATTTCTGCACACGCCTTCCTGCGGGTTGCCTGCCGCCGGCAGCGTTCGGTCTACCGCTGTGTGGCCTCCTGGGGTCAATGCTCAAGGATCCCTCCCCCATGAACTGTGAAGGCCGATTCCCCACGGGCAGACCCAATTCTAGCACCAGCAGACCAGGCTGAATTGCTCCTGGGAGACACAGTGTCCTCAGCTGGAGGAGGCAGCACCCCAGCCTGCTGCAGCCGAGGTCAATGGGGGTGTTGGTGGTGACTTCCAAAGAGCAGGACCATACGTAGAGACCATCGCACCGGGTCTGGACTTTCCCGTACCTTCAAAGTTGCCCTTTGGCCTTTTGGTGTTTCAGGCGTGCTAGTGACCCTCACCTGCCACACAGATGGAGCTGGGGCCAGAGAGCAGCCAGGATGTGAAGGCCACTGGGGTGGTGGGGATCAGTGGACGTTAGGGTAGGGGTGTTCAAATTAAATGAATCAACTAATCGAACAGTCGATGGAATGTCTATTGACTAGTCGATGAGGGCACTTCCGCTTTGAAATGGAGCAAGAGCCCGCCCTGCTGGGGCTCTGGTACATTTCAAAGGCGGAAGTGCCCCCAGGGCCCCGGAGGTGGCGTTCCGCCTTTGAAATGTACCAGAGCCCCAGCGGGAGCTCTTGTGCATTTCAAAGATTGAAATGACACATGGAGCCCGGGGCCAGCAGGGGACTCAGTCTGCTGGCTCCAGGCGACGCTTCTGCTTTGAAATGTACAAGAGCCTCAGTGGGGACTCTTGTACATTTCAAAGGTGGAACGCCACCGCGGCGCCCCTGCCTCGTCCCATGGAGCTGGAGCTGGGAGGGAACAGCTCCCCCAAGCATCGCCTCCATTTACCCCCACCTCTTGCTGCCTCTTCCTGCTAGAGGTAGCAAGTGGGGGGAAGTGACTAGTCAACTAGTGTGACTACTTTGTTGACTAGTCGCTTACATCCCCTACTTTAGAGATGCCAACGCTCCAGAACAATGTCCCCTCTAATCTTTTCCATGCATGTGCGGAATTTTTTCCATTAATGTGTGGAATAATTTTTTACGTGCACCAAGGCATGTGTGAATGTGCACCACCTGTAAAAACAAAACCTAGCTGTGGGTGCTCTGCTAATCCACTAGGCAGCATCTGAATTTCTCCTGACTGGCCACACAAGCGCACAGCTTCCAGGGAACGCTGCTCCTGGATTGTCCAGGAGTCCCCAGGAATTAAAGATTCATCTTTAAATAAAGGTATCATGTATGAAACTGCTTGGAATACATCTAACCAGAACTGACAACCCTGGTGGACATCATGGGTACTTTTTCTGTTAGCCAGAATTTGTACGGAGGATGAAGGAGTCCTTAATGCTATTTTCCAGAATTAACTAGATTTCAACCAGGGGAGACCAATTCTGAATTCTGGCCAGCCTCTCGGAAGCCAATAGGGCTTGCTCACATGAGGGGAATTTGGCTTTGTGTGTTGAATCTTGCAAGTTACTTCCCACAGGTTTAAAAATAGTTATGATGCGGCATCATTTAAAGAAAAACCCCGCACGACATGTTTGCAACTTGAAACTGAGCCCCACTTCCTTACATGAATTCGTCATCCTTTCACACACCCCTGCCACTTTTATTATCGTAGGGTTTCCAGGAAAAGCCGAGGTTCACGGACCAGTTTGCTGCAGCATAGTACAAACAATTCTTTCGGCTCTCAGCATTGACAAGGTCCCTGGGAGGCGTTCACAGTGGCTCATTGCCATCAATTTAAAAATACTTTTTAAGACCCACAATTTTCTCCCCCTGCAGGCCGACCGGCTCCAGCAGGAAGAGCAGCTGGCCAGCCTGCGAGAGAAAGCGCAGCGAGAAGCCGAAGAGAGCCAGAGGTCTTTGGAGGAGCTGCTCACGCATCGGTTAGCGGTAAATCTGTGTGGCCCCCTTCCAGACTGGGCACTGTCCTCTTTGGAGTCATTGAGACCTGGGGTGGCACCTATGTGCCTCTCTCACCTGACAGGACAAAGAATGCAGACTGTGGATCTGTTTCCCAAAGTACTAGAGCCCAGATCCTCAGACGTGCTGTGGCTTCCATGGGACTGGGGCGCTGTCACGGTGTATACACACCCCATCCTGTGCGGGCGAGGTCACGGGGGTGTGTAGACCCTGCCGGCATTCTTGTCAATCTCTCTGTGATCTGAGTCAGTCCGTCATGCTGAGGCAGTGTAGCCTAATGGCCCAAGTCTCTCTAGTAGCCCTTGAGTGCAGGGCAGCATGGCCTAGTGGCTAGAGTCCATATAATAGTTGTTTGGTTACAGGGCAGTACAGCCTAGTGGCTAGTCTATATAATAGCTCTCAAGTTGCAGGGCAGCATGTCCTAATGGCTAGAGTCCACACAGTAGCCCTTTGGTTGCAGGACAGCACGGCCCAACGGGCAGAGTCTCTGAAGTTCTGGTGCTCCTGTAGCAGGTCCTTCTTCTCCCGTGTCCAGTCCAGACGGAGCTGAGCTGCTCCCTTTTATACTGCCCCACCACGTGGAGCATGCCCAGTATGGCTGGGGGGGCAGGGCGTTATTCCTCATGAAAAGCAGGCGTGCAGAGTTCGAATCCTGTGGCCCCTGAGTCCAGAATAAAGGGCTTGGTAGTGTGGACACTGCTTACAAATTCGAACTTGCGGGGGGTTATTTCAGACGAAGGTCTTGGTGTAGACTCAGGATGTTAAAATGTGGTTATTAGGCTAATCGTATAGTCGATGCAATTTGTATCGACTCCACGATTCGTCGATAGCACCGTTCTGCAGAGCCGCAGGGGGGTAGCTCCAGGAGTCGCTTTGAGCCAGGTCTGAGCAGTCCCGGCATGTGCCGGCTCCAGGAGCCACCCGCGCTGCAAGACGAAGGTCTTGGTGTAGACTCAGGATGTTAAAATGTGGTTATTAGGCTAATCGTATAGTCGATGCAATTTGTATCGACTCCACGATTCGTCGATAGCACCGTTCTGCAGAGCCGCAGGGGGGTAGCTCCAGGAGTCGCTTTGAGCCAGGTCTGAGCAGTCCCGGCATGTGCCGGCTCCAGGAGCCACCCGCGCTGCAACTCTGCATTTTAAATACAGTAAGAGCTGCCGCAGAGGCGCAGTGATCAGCGGGACCGGGACTACTCGCTCCCGGCTTGGG